TAGTTGTTGCAGTAGTAGTAGTAGTTGTAGTAGTAGTGGTAGTAGTAATAGTACAAGTCTAATAGTAGTATTAGTATTATTAGTAGTTGTAGTAGTAGTAGTCTAATAGTAGTACTAGTCTAATAGTAGTAGTAGTAGTAGTAGTCTAATAGTAGTACTAGTCTAATAGTAGTAGTAGTAGTAGTAGTAGTAGTAGTCTAATAGTAGTACTAGTCTAATAGTAGTAGTAGTAGTAGTAGTAGTCTAATAGTAGTACTAGTCTAATAGTAGTAGTAGTAGTAGTAATAGTACAAGTCTAATAGTAGTATTAGTATTATTAGTAGTTGTAGTAGTAGTAGTCTAATAGTAGTACTAGTCTAATAGTAGTAGTAGTAGTAGTCTAATAGTAGTAGTAGTAGTAGTCTAATAGTAAGTTCAGTGCGTTTACTCTTGTTTCCTCATCATAAACAAACCTGTAGTTGTGTTTTGTTTCATTCACACATTTAACACACAAATCCTGCAGATTTAGGCGGCGTTCTTTTCTCAAACGGAAAACACTCTGTTCCACCTTGTGATGTCATCTGGTGATACAGAAAGTGCTCCACTGTGTTTTAAACTTCATACACCTTCACTTGAATCACACGGATGATTTCAGCCCTGGAATTACCAATCTGCACGGAACTAAAGGTGAAAAGGAACTTGAAAACTACCACTTCATGACATCACAAGGTGGAACGGGGCATTTTGAGCTTCGGAGACGTAGACAGACAAATAAGAAAAGATTACTCAGGCATGTGTGAATGAAACAAAACACAACTCCGGGTATGTTTTTGGTGACATAACAACTTACAGCTCGATAAACTTATGTAAGGGATGAGACAAAGCACTCAGATAGCACTTTCTTTTAAACATCCTTAAGTAAATAATCGGAGTGAGACTATCCGTTCTTCCACCTCTCCCCCTCTCTCTTTCTCTCCCTCCGCGTGCATATATATCACATTACGGCTCCATAGGAAGTGCGCGTTCCGGCCTCTTCCTGTGCCTTACGTAATGTTTGGATTTTCAGGTCAGCTCCTGTTTTATAGAGGTCTATCTATTCAGCCACAGGAAGGACCGTCAGGAAGCCCAAACAACTACAGCCTGTAAATGCTCTCGTAAAACGCAATCAACGGCTAGCCCGGGTTAAACACTTTTTGCCAGTTTTCTAATGACAAAAGAATCCCAGGGAAATATGAGGAAGACTGTAATGTAAATTTGTTCGCGGGGTTTAAAGGGTCCGTATTACGCTGTTTTCCGACGTGCCTCATAATGTTGTTTTCTCGACCAAAATGCCCCAGAAGATGTGTTTTGTTTCATTCACAGATGTTTCACGCGCAAAATCCTGCTTATTTACGCTGAGTTCTTCTCGCGAACTGAAAACATGTCGTTCTACCTTGTGATGTCATGTGGTAATACAGGAAGAAAAAACTCCACTGTGTTTTTAAACTCCACACACCTTCACTAGAATCTTTTTGATAATTTTTACATCTGGAATTGCCAATCTCTACTGAATCAAAGGTCAAAGGAACTTGAAAATATATATACTTTATATTTTAGAAGGGATTTTGTGTATGATGTGCAGTAGATAAAGGGATTCATTTAACTACCACTTGACTGGCATTAAACTATGATATGACTATGATGTTCACACACCATCCCACTAAGCAGAAAAACATGCACCTCTGATACCTAAGTAGTAGTAGTAGTAGTAGTAGTAGTCTAACAGTAATAATAGTCTAACAGTACTAGTAGCCTATTATTTGTAGTAGTATTCTAATAGTAGAAGTCTAGTATTAGAAGTAGTAGTAGTCTAATAAGACTAGTAGCAGAAGTCTAATATTAATAATAGTAGTAATCTAATAGTAGTGATAGTAGTAATAGTAGTAGTAGGACAAGCAGTAGTAGTCTAATAGTGGTAATAGCCTAATAAGTAATAGTAGTAGTAGTAGTAGTGGTAGTAGTAGTAGTAGTAGTAGTAGTAGTAGTAGTAGTAGTAGTAGTTAGTAGTAGTTGTTGTTGTTGTTGTAGTTGTTGTAGTAGTAGTAGTAGTAGTAGTAGTAGTAGTAGTAGTAGTAATAGTAGTAGTAGTAGTAGTAGTAGTAGTTGTTGTTTGTTGTTGTTGGCTATTAGTAGTAATAGTACTAGTAGTATTAGTCTAATTTTAGTAATAGTAGTAGTCTAGTAGTAGTAGTAGTAGTAGTAGTAGTCTAATAATACTACTAGTAGTAAAAGTAGTTGAATAGTAGTAATAGTAGTAGTAGAAGTAGTAGTCGTCTAATAGTGGTAGTAGCCTAATAAGTAATAGTAGTACTAGTACTACTACTACTACTACTACTAGTAGTAGTAGTAGTAGTAGTAGTAGTAGTAGTAGTAGTAGTAGTAGTAGTAGTAGTAGTAGTAGTAGTAGTAGTAGTAGTAGTAGTAGTAGTAGTAGTAGTAGTAGTAGTAGTAGTAGTTTTATAGTAGTAGTTGTAGTAGTAGTAGTAGTAGTAGTACCTAATAGTAGTAATAGTAGTAGTAGTTTTATAGTAGTAGTTGTAGTAGTAGTAGTAGTAGTATCCTAATAGTAGTAATAGTAGTAGTATAGTTGCAATAGTAACGTAGAAGTTTGATTTCGTTGTTCATTTTCCTATATCAGGGAAAAAAAAGATTATTTATAATTGACATGTTTTGATGGAAGCCTATATGTAGTAGTAATGACAGTGTTACTAGTAGTAGTAGTAGTAGTAGTAGTAGTAGTAATAGTAACAGTATAATTGTTTAAGGTGCTAGAAGTTAGATTTATTCATCTTCCTTTATCAGAATATAATTACACTGACATGTTTTGATGGAAGTCTGTAAGTAGTAGTAGACAGCCGTAGTATTAGTAGTAATCAGAGTTACTTTTACGCTATTCTAACAACATTATTTCCAAATTCAGTAAAGTTAGGCAACTATTTTCATTTTTGAGTCTTGTCCTTAACTCAGATTTAGCGGGCGAGCAGCACTCTGACACTGGCCTAGTATGGAAAGTGAAGCGTGTGAGCTGTGGAGCAGGCTCTTGTGCTTCCTCGGCTCACTCTAATGTTTGGGTGTAGTGCAGTGCAGCTCCTAAGCCCTGTTATAAATGACACCAGTGAAGGACAGCTGTTTCCGTGCATTTGGTTTTTAGGGCCTGTGAGGCATTATAAGAGCTTGTGTTATAGCTCTGTCCACACCACTGTTTCCTACGTAAAAACATGTCCTTTGACCTTTGCAAGTCATTTACACCGTGGACACACTCAACCTATAGCACTCATAAGTATTCAGTCACTATTTTGATACTTTATTCCTGTATCCATGACGACAGTTAGGTTAATAATATCATATTGTGAATGATGGACCTGGATAAAAGTATTTGATTACTACTACTGCTACTACTATTAGACTACTACTTCTACTACTACTAATTCTACTACTACTACTGCCGCTAATATTAGACCATTACTTCTACTAATACTACTACTGCTACTACTATTAGATTACTACTACTTCTACTACTACTACTGCTGCTACTATTAGACTACTTCTTCTACTACTACTACTATTAGACCATTACTACTAGTATTAGACTACTACTGCTACTACTGTTACTACTTCTCTTAGACTACTACTACTACTACTACTACTACTACTACTACTACTACTACTACTACTACTACTACTACTACTACTACTACTACTACTACTACTACTACTACTACTACTACTACTACTACTACTACTACTACTAGACTACTACTACTACTACTACTATTAGACTACTAGTACTACTACTACAATCATATCACTACTTCTACTACTACTTTTAATGAAATTGTATTGTAACTTTCTTGTAAAATTCTTAAATGAATACCTTATACCACTACATATACTACATTCATATGATTTTGAAGTAACTCTACTTTCACCAGAAGTTTGTGTCTTAAACTATTTTCAACGCTAATAATAAACTCAGAATTTATACCAGTGTACTTCTACTTCAAATAAAACTATTTGATTTTGAAGTAACTCTACTGTTACTTTTTGGTCCATACTTGCCTTGAATATTACCAAAGGTTACTGTGAAAGAACTTTTTTCAACACTAATGGTAAACTCAGAATTTATACCAATGTACTTCTACTTCAAATAAAAGTATATGATTTTGAAGTAACTCTATTTTTACTTTTACTTTTTGGTCGATGCATTCAACTTGCTTGAACATTACCAAAACTTACTGTTAAAGACCTTTTTTCAACACTAATGGTAAACTAAAAATGTATACTAATGTAATTCTAATTCAAATAAAAGTATATGTGTGAATGAGCTGATGTGTACTATAATTAGGGGTATTATAAAAAAAATTATTCAGTGATACATTGTGATACTTCAAAATGGATCCGAACCAATTTTTTAAATAATATTTTTCACAAAAGTTCATAAGTTACATTCAGTGTTGTCATGATTTTAAAAAGTTTATAAACTGTATTTCATACAATTGTGTTCTCTTGAAGGTGTAGTTGTATTATGAGAAGTAATTATTGATAAATCACAATATATCGTCCATGGTTTTAGTATTATATATTATATTATATATCATGATGTATTGAATCGTGACATGTGCATCATGATATGTTTCGTATCGTCAGACTCAAGGCAATGCACGCCTTGTAAATATAATTGTAAAGTATTTTGAGTAGACTACATGCAGTACCCACTGAAGCTAGTGTCAATTAAAACTATATGATTTTGAAGTAACTCTACTTTTACGTTTGCTTTTTGGTCCATGCATTCTACTTGCCTTGAACATTACTACAAGTTTCTCTCTTGAACTTTAACACTAATAATGAACTAAAAATGTATACTGATGTACTTCTACTTCAAATAAAAGTATATGTGTGAATGAGCTGGTGCGTGCTGTAACTATAAAGTATTTTGAGTAGACTACATGCAGTACCCACAGAATTGAAGACACAAGCCAGAGTAATATTTAACAATATATATTTCCATTGTCAATGTACATTCCATTTTGACATAAGCTTTCTTCACAAACAAAAAGTTGGCATCTAAATAAATACTATATAAAATAGAACTTCAAAATAAATATATCTATAAAGGGAACCTTTTATATGAGAGTTTTTTTTGTTGTTTTTTTTTACCATTTTGTTCTATCTAAACAAACAAAAGCACAGATTTCTGTATCCCCCAAACATCAACATCTGCAAAACGCAAAAATATAGGAATGGAGAAGCACTGTCCATTTGAGTGAGAGCCGTGAAGAGTCGTGTAAGTCGTAGCGCTTTCGAATAGACTCGCGTTTGAGTAAAGTATAAAGCTAACGTAAGCACACTTTTGAAGGGCGGTGATAATAAAAACGATTGGCGAAAGTTATGGCACCCAAAACAGCTGAAGAAGACATGAGCAGCGAGAGAGGGGAGAAAAGAGAGAGAGATCTGACTCTTCTTTCGCTTCCTCCCTCTTTCTGGTATGACAAGTTTATGCACCGCAGCTGTGTTTGTCAATCAAAAGGCCGAGCTGTTTGCGTCGGACCATTTTGTACTGACGGAGAGAAAGACAGAGAGAGAGAAAGAGAGAGGTAAGAGCAGGAAATGGGCGATCCGGACAGAGCAGATTATGTTCCCTGTGTGAATTCAATGCACCCAGTCTCCAGAATGCAGGAAAGAATTAGCCTAGCCTCTCGACTGCTAATGAGCCATGGATAGTGTAACCATGTGTTTTCTTTTTCTTATTGCAGAAGGACACTCTTTTACCGAATCAAGTGCTCGCCGCGACAGAAAGCATTGATCCTCTTTCCGCCTTTCCATCCCCACCCCCCTCCCCAAAAATATAAATCTAATATATTCTCTATATATTCTTGAATCGTAGTTATAATGTACCATGCAATCTTTCAAGGGACATTTAAAAGTCTCTTCTAAAGAAACACAAATGTTGTGAAACTATTTACAAGCAAAGAACATTTCACCTGCATAGCTCTAGTTCTAAATATATTGTCAAAACATTTGTGATTTTTGCTCCCCCTCGCGCACCATCTCCTAAGTCATTTTTGGCACCTTTCTTCGCAGACTTGTACATTCAAGACAAAGGACAGTGTCATTTCTAGCTGTTTTATAGTGAATGATATTAGCGTTGTGCAACTACACAAATATGAAAAAGGTGTGTTATGGGGTTGCCAAAAAAAGACTCCCCGTTATCTCCATTTGGTGCATAACAATCGTGACCACACAGACACGCTACGACTACTGTACGCTCGCTTTCCTTTGGCAACGTCCGGTCCGGGAGCTCAACGCAAGCCACATAAAAATAGACTTTGAGAATAAAACGATTTCGACGAACGATGCAGCATAACGGCTAAACGGACATGAAGAAGACACTTGTGTGCGCGTGAGGGTGTGTGTGTGTGTGTGGGGGGGGGGGGGTGAAGAGGGTGAGGGGAGGGGCCGGGCTAAATGTAGCGCGGGCCAACGTAACATGAGAAAGCTGAGGTGGTTCGTAATACTGTGCTTTAGTTCATCCGTCATAAGGGGTCTTCCTAAAAAAAGGTTGTGCAAGTGGCAGGTTGATTTCTGACTAAGGCTGACGAGATACCAACGACGTTTTTTTTTCACTCACTTGCAAAAAAAGTAAAATAAAACTGGCCTCTTCTGACTTAGCTTACGTGATTTTTAATGATTCACTATATTGCCTTTCACGTCCCTAAACGTTTCTTTGCCCGCGTGTGCAAAGAGGAAGTAGACTTAAAGGCCTTTAGGCAGTTGTAAACCAGCATGCTATCGGCCAGACGGTAACAGTCCCTGAGAAGATCGGGTGAACTTTATACATTTCTCTACGACACATGGACTCCTAGCACAGGTGGGTAACCATTAGACTAAAGCATGCAGGTCGTGACATGCATTACCTGGGAGGTGATTGGTGAACAGCATTCGCAATCTGTTCAGGAGGAATTTACCTCTTAAACTTACTATAAAGTGATTATGTCTCTGATCTGCTTCCACAGAGCACGACGCAATGGGGAAATTACTATTATCTCAAAGTCTCAACGTGTTTGTTTTTACAGCTCCTCCATGGAGATAAAATGTTAGCAAGCTCGCATCTTTAAGCTGAAAGAGGAAGCATGGCGACGCTAAGTGATGGTGATGGTCATAATAGAGGAGAGAGAGTGAGTAAAGTGGTGCTTTTACTCCTCTGAGAACTATCATAAACCACGTGGGAAGGGACTCAGGCGCAGACAGGGGCAGCGGCCTGTGCTTCTGGGGCAGGGAAGTTTACAGATATTAGACCATTCAGGTTAGTTTACCTTTACAAAATTAGCTGAGAAAATACAGAGCAGCAGAGAGGTACAATGACTTTGTGCCTTCAGCCATCTTTTGCAAAACAAACCAACTCCAGTTCCACAATCTAGTCCCATCGGCCTGTTACTCCGGCTGTTTCTCATCATTCACCCATTAAAATAAGGCCAAGAGCCACTAAGTACCGTAGTGTTACAGTCATGTTCCAGCAGATACACGGGGTCATACGGGATTGTTTGGATTGTCCTATCCATAGAACAAGCAAGCGCTGCATGGTCCAGTTCAAAGACTTTGGTCCACTATCATGACCCCGGCTGCTTCTCTATTGTCCCGATCTTTGCCTCCACACTTTTACAAACATTGGTGGGACCTTGTAAGTTCTTGCAGCGACAGCCTGGTCTGCTCACCTTGTCGTAACACTTGTGTCCCAGTTTGGCCAGTCCCACCGCGGGCAGGTAGCACACGAGGCAGGGCAGCACGAAGGAGAGCGCCGTCATGAAGGACCAGCGGGCGCAGCAGTGAGCCTGTGAACAAGAACAAGGTTTGTCCGCACACGACCCTTCATCGTCCTCATCCTCGGTGCAGTGGTAGAAGATCCCCTTAACCAGGCACATGCATGTGGCTGTGTCAACCAGGCTTTGGGCCGAGCACAGACACTCCTGGTTACACACCCAGCAGGAGGGCAGGGTCCGGGGCAGCGTGCATTCTGTGCAGCGGCACTTTCCACAGGCCTCACACACCACCAGGTGCTTCTTCTCTGCAGGAGAGGAGGGGATAAGAGACAGTGTGTGCTGGCCGATTGTGGGGCACGCCCCTCCAACAGACACCTGGGCTGACTTGAGGTCCAGAGATTTGGAGGTGCAAGAAGAGCTGAGGGCTTTAGACTCAGAGGAAGAGAAGCACCCAGGGGTGCGGCTGACCGTGTTGACTGCACTGGAGTGCAGGTTTGGGTGGTGGTCTACCACAGGGGTGGGTGCGGCATGGTCCAGCAGCCTCTGGTCTGAAGAAGTGCTGCTGCTGCTGCTGATGGAGCTGGGCCTCCCGCTGAAGGAGATCCAGGGGTGAGTGGTGTTGTCCTGGTGCAGGTGGGACTGTTGGTGGTTGTGATGAAGGTTGTGGTTGGCTCCCAGAAAGTTCTCTTGACCCTGTCCCACCCACGTGACTCTGCGGGGAGCCTTCTGACTGGGAGGCTGCTGGGACACCACGGCCGGGCTGTCGATGTAGTCGTTCTCCACATGGGTGGACTTGATCTGGTCCAGAGGGTAGATGGTGAGGTGCTGCAGGCGGCCATAGGGCACTCGACTGTCCAGCAGAGGCTGGGACATGAGAGAGGAGGACACCCCCGGGATGTGCTGTGGGACCCTGGACTCCATGTGTGGGCTGCGGCCGGGCACGTCTCTCTACAGCAGCATCCAACACTGCAGAGACAAAGGGTTATTAATAGGACAATCCTATTAGAGCTATCGATCCTTTACACTGGATCTGCCTGTTTCCCACCACACAACAGGATGCAAATGCAAGGGACATTATGAAGAGCTGCCTCCAAAGTGACTGAGGGCTGCATGAAATAATACTGTACACATTAGGTATAACCAGACAATTTAACAACATTAAAACCTCAAGTTTTATAAATCATTTCTGAAACCAAAAGCAACAAAAAAGATCAGCAGAATTCTTTTAGCTTTGTCCCTAAATTTATAAACAAAGATTTTTGAGTGAAAAGCAGCAGCATTTGAAACCTCCTCCATTTTAAGTTTGACATTAGAACAATGGAAGTTGGGCTCTCGTCGCCTCTTTGGGAGCACCACGGAGCAGGGCTTGCATGCAAAAGACCCAGAGATGTAAAACGGGGCAAAGCAAAGAGGAAAAGAGGTTGCCAACGGGGAATTTAACAAAGACTCTGGTAGGGTCAAGGAAAGCCTTTTGTATGGGGCACCACTTTAATGGGTCAGTTATTAACTCATTTCTATTTATGTGTTATGTAATTAGTAATATCAATTTAAAATAGACCATAAGAAAGAGAACCTCAAAAAGAAGCTCTGGGTTTTGTGAATGAAGCAGTGAAGGAGCCGCAGCAGGTTTTTATGAATGGAGGCTGATGGCTGACTCGGTGTTGCAAGTATGAATCAGAGAGCTCTCGTCATTATGAGCCTCATTGAAAAAAAAATAAAAAAATCAATTTTTATCAATGGGCGCTCGTCCGCGTGCGCAGACCTAACCTACTTCACAAAAAACTGAAGATAATCAGCTGAAGCGTCATTTCCACTGACCCACATGTGAACACTTTTACATTATAATAAATATAGCTCCACTGACAGCAATAGACTCCCGGGTTATTTTAACCCGTGCACTCGCCCTGGTTTTATTTTGGAGACTGTGTTTAATTTAGTCTAGAATGTACGGTATCAAAGCACGTCGTACGTTGCTCAAATCAAATTACTTTGTGGTTTATGGCAGTGTTATTACCACGGTAACCAAATCCAGCCCATTACCCGAGCTCCTTTTCGCCTGATTTCTACAGTTTTGGTGCGTAAAACCTGTTGCGACACTGTCGCTGCTGCTGGCACTGATTGCGCCGCGCTTGTGTGTAATCTCGACCATTATATGAGCTTCCAAGCCGGAACTGTGGACGTATGTGCGTGCGTGTGCGTGACTGTTCGTGTGTCTGCGTTTGTGCGCGTCCCTCCCTGCCTTCAATATGTGAATGGACTGAGTCATAAAAATACGGAGGCGGCCGCTCGGCATAGTCAAATAGCAAGTTTATATAGATATTGCGATCGAGTATTGGAGCATTATCGCTAGTTTGCGTGCTTTGGAAAGCTTTTGGAAGCGTATGGTACAGTATGTGCCCCTGAGCGAAGTGCTTGCTTAGTTTTATTTTAGCGACATTTGCCGAAGTGCGTATTGCGTAGCTGTTTTAACACAGGAATATCACGTATTTGCGCTCTAAAAGATCCCAACATATCGCAGTAAAACGCATCAACTGTGTTACAGAGTAAGTTTTATCGCCATTAAGTCGTAAGTAGCTTCGTGGCGCTTTAAACGCAAGTACAGCGCTGTGAAATGGCAAAAATATGACACTCCGCGTCTCAGTCTTCGTTTGGAATTTGCTTTCCGAGCGAAATATTAACTCATGCTTCAAAGATACAACATATGAAGCTAATGAATAGATTTGACAGTCATCTTTTAACCAAATGTCATGTTGTAAAGTCGTCTGCAGCTACTAGTGACACGAAACAATTTTAAAACGACACATAAATGCGCTCGCTTACCAATTCAGGGTAAAAGGGCCATCTCTCCGTCGTGCTCGCGTTATAGTCCAATCAGGGAATGAATAGTTCCACAGTGAACCGTATTAAGTCCAAATGTTTGAAGGATTAAAAGGCCGTGGCAGCGGAGAGCGCTCTCTTCTCCTCTCCTGTGCGTAAAAGGCAACTGACTGCGGTCGTGGACGCAGCGCTGCTTTGGATGTTGATGTTGCAACCAGCTCCACGAAAAGGGGGAGGGCCGTGCCTTTTTATGAATGGGAGGGTATAGAGACGGGGGAGAGGGACGGCGCTGCTGCTCGGTCTGTGTCTCTGCGTGAGCTCCTTGTGAATGGCAGCGCGAGAGAGAGACTCGGGAGGTGCTCAAATGCGGAGGTTACATTTTTATGAATGGGGAGGACTCCGAATGGAATTGCGCATGCGCCATGTGGAGATTTTTATGAATGGGAAAGAAATGGCGAATGAGGCGTGTGTGTGGAGAGAGAGAGAGGCGAAGGGGGAGAAATAGACAGAGGGAAAGAAGAGGAGGAGGAGGAGGGGGCTTTTTTTTTTGGTCACAAGGGCAAAGTCAGGACTGATTTACATAAAACTACAGATATTCTCTCCGTGATGGCGCTGCTTTCCTTGTGTAATAGACGGTCGTGAGTGGGCGACGAGCGCGGCGGATTTATGCTGTTGTGAGGTTCAAGAATAGCAATGAGCTGCTCCTGTGTCCATCAAAAAACAAAGATGAGCTCGTAATGAAATAGTGAAATGAAAATAATAATAATTTGCGTAAACGATGGACAAATAGTTCCACACAGTGTTATTTATTTATTTATTTATTTTTTACAATGTTCCAACTGAACACTGCATAAATGTTCTGTTGGGGGTCTGCTGCCTCTTTGTTTCTATGGATACGTCACTGATTTGTCTGGAATGTTCCACAGTGTGACATTAAACACCTCTACCTTACATTTATGCAAATACAGGTGGTTTTATAGCTCAAAAATGCACAGAAAAACTCATTGTTATTCGTTTTTTCAGTTTCGTTTTGGAGACAAATAATGAAGAAAATAGTTGTTTTCTTATTTTTGGTTTTATTTTGAAAAACAAATGAACGAATGATACATGGATTCACTCTGTTCCACCTTGTGATGTCATGTGGTAATACAGGAAGTGCTCCATTGTGTTTTTACTCTCCACACTCCTTCACTAGAATCATTCAGCTCATTAAACGATGAACAAACAATTCCAAATAATGTTATTTTTTTACAATGTTCCAATTGAACACTACATAAATTTTCTGTTGGAGGTCTGCTGCCTCCTTGTTTCTATGGATACGTCACTGATTTGTCTGGAATGTTCCACAGTATGACATTAAACAGCTCTACCTTACATTTATTCCATTTCAGGTGGTTTTATAGCTCAAAAATACACAGAAAAACTAATTGTTATTCGTTTTTTCAGTTTGGTTTTGGAGACAAATAATGAAGAAAATAGTTGTCATTTCGTTTTCTTATTTTTGTTTTTATTTTGAAAAACTAATGACAAAATGGTACACGGATTCACTCCTTTCCACCTTGTGATGTCATGTGTTCTGCTGGGGGTCTGTCGCCTTCTTCTTTCAATGGATACGTCACTGATCTGTCTGGAATGTTCCGTAGTGTGACATTAAACAGCTCTACTTTACATTTATTCCATTACAGGTGGTTTTATAGCTCAAAATTACCCTGAAAACAAATCGTTTTTGTTTTTTCAGTTTGGTTTTGGAGACAAATAATGAAGAAAATTGTTTTTTTAATTTTTTTCTTATATTTGGTTTTATTTTGAAAAACAGAATGAACGAATGATACACGGATTCACTCTGTTCCACCTTGTGATGTCACGTGGTAATACAGGAAGTGCTCCACTGTGTTTTTACTCTCCACACTCCTTGACTAGAATCATTTGGATCATTAAATGATAAAAAACAGTTCCAAATAGTGTTATTTTTTACAATGTTCCAACTGAACACTACATAAATGTTCTGTTGGAGGTCTGCTGCCTCGTTGTTTCTATGGATACGTCACTGATTTGTCTGGAATGTTCCACAGTATGACATTAAACAGCTCTACCTTACATTTATTCCATTACAGGTGGTTTTATAGCTCAAAAATACACAGAAAAACTCATTGTTATTCGTTTTTTCAGTTTGGTTTTGGAGACAAATAATGAAGAAAATCATTGTCATTTCGTTTTCTTATTTTTGTTTTTATTTTGAAAAACTAATGACAAAATGGTACACGGATTCACTCCTTTCCACCTTGTGATGTCACATGTTCTGTTGGGGGTCTGTCGCCTCCTTGTTTCTATGGATACGTCACTGATCTGTCTGGAATGCTCCATAGTGTGACATTAAACAGCTCTACTTTACATTTATTCCATTACAGGTGGTTTTAAAGCTCAAAAATACCTTAAAAATCAGCTTGATGACTGTGAGCGGGGTTGCCTCTCCGCAGATCTGGCCTGTAATTTGGTCTGGTTTGGTCTCAGTGAACATAGAAAGGTTTAATGCCATACTGTGAAACATTCCAGACAAAGCAATAATATCTAGAGACAGTTAACAAACAGCCATGACACACTATAGCCTAATGGAATATCCACAGTTCATATTTTCCGTTGCTTATCATATGTAAATCAACATACAAAACCACGCGTAACATTCTAAAAATATCACTAAAGAAATCGTTAATACGCAGAACTGAAACTGAAATTGTTTACTGTAACTGCAACAGAAACCAAGACCGGACCAGATTAGAATCTTGACGTTAACCATGACAACGCAGCCTATATCCTCCGCGCAATCTGAAGCCCTTTATTTACACTTCCTCTCTCTTTCCTTCCTCTGCTCCTGAAATGATCCTCTTTCCACTGCGGTGTTAAAGTCTGGGAGGGTGGGGGACAGTCGAGGATCAAGTACTCAGCAGTGTTACTTAAGTAGAAGTACAGATACAAGGGTGAAAGACTACTTAAGGAAAAGAAAAAGAATCAAATGGAAAATCAACTATTGTAGTACCTGCTTAAAATTACACTTTTAGAGTAAAAATTATAAGTACTTTAAGGAGATTTTTTAGAATCAAACTGTTTTCTTCATTTTTTAATCTGTTTTCGTGTATTTGTGTATCTATTTTGCTCAAAGTTGGGACGTACTAAAAATAATTCTCAGCTTTTTCGGCTGGACTCAAACCGTAAAGAAAAGTACTTTTTGTTTTTCAGTCTAGATCTAAAATGTAGTAATGTAACGTAATGTAATGTAGTGGAAAGTACAGATATATCCACTGTAAAATGTACTAAAGATACTAAAAAATGTACTTAAGTATTACACTTTCACTTTTGTATTTACGTAAAAGTAAAAGCACTTAAGTAAAACTATTGATGCACTTGTTTAAAATTGTACTTTAAGAGTAAAAAGTAAAAGTATTTTGTAGAGATTTTTAGAACTATTAAAGAATCAAATATAGAGATTTTAAGTGATTCAACTGGTTTCATAATTTTTCTAACTATTTTTTGTGTATTTGTGTATCTGTTTTGCTCAAAGTCTCAGCTTTTTCAGCAACTCAAACCATAAAGAAAAGTACTTTTTACTTTTCAGTCCAGATCTAAAATGTAGTGAAGGAGAAAGTACAGATACATCCACTGTAAAATGTACTTAAGTAAGTATATATACAAAAAATTTACTTAATTGTTATACTTTTACTTTTGTATTTAAGTGAAAGTAAAAGTATCACATGAAAAAATCTACTTAAGTGAAACTATTGAAGCACTTGTTTAAAATTGTACTTTAAGAGTAAAAGTAAAAGTATTTTGTAGAGATTTTTAGAACTATTAAAGAAGGAAATGTAGATTTTAAGCAATTCAATTGATTTTTTTGTGTGTGTAGTTGGTTTGCTCAAAGTTGGAACATTAACTCAAATGAAATGTGCTAAAAATACAGTAAGTCTCAGCTTTTTCAGCAGGACTCAAACTGTAAAAAAAAGTACTTTTTACTTTTCAGTCCAGATTTAAAATATAGTGAAGTAGAAATTACAGCTACACCCACTGTAAAATGTACTAAAGATACAAAAAATTTTACTTAAGTATTATAATTTTACTTTTATATTTAGGTAAAAGTAAAAGCAAAGTGAAACTATTGACGTTTTTTTTTTAAATTGTACTTGAAGAGTAAAAAGTGTAAGTATTTTGCAAAGATTTTTAGAACTTTTAAAGAATCAAATGTAGTGATTTAAGCGATTCAACTGATTTCTTAATTTTCTGTCTGTTTTTGTGTATTTGGTTGACTCAAAACTCTAACCAAATGTGTTAAAAATAAGTCTCAGCCATAAAGAAAAGCACTTTATACTTTTCACTCCAGATTTAAACTTAACAAAGTAAAAAGCACAGACACATCCACTGTAAAATGCACTTAAGCGAACTACAAATTGTACTGCAGTATTTGTACTTTTACTTTTGTACTTTGCTACCTTCCAGCCGTGGTTCCAGAGGGAGGGGGTGGGGCCTTTATAACGCCTGGCCCTGAAAAGCAGCATGAGGGCAGGCACGGCTCACAAAGAGACAGGATGTTGTTGATTTGTACCGAAACCACACGCAGGAAATGAGTGTGAATTTCCTTTCTCTGACCCCGAGATCCCCTTGTGCCTGTGTGTGCGTGTCTGTGTGTGTCTCTGTGTGTGTGTGTGAGTGTGTGTGAGTGTGTGTGTGTGTGTGTGGACTAGTCAAAGGTTAACTGTGCCCTCATTATCCCTTTGCACATAAAACCATGGCAACTACTAGTGCAAACGCGGATTGTTGTTTTCTATACTGTATTTTTAGCATATATAAGGTGATTTGACTGGCTTAAAAATAATGGAGCACAAGAAAATGTTGGGGGTGAAGGTTTAAAAAATAAGCGTTTGTTAAATTTAAATTCAGCGTTTATTAAAGGGTTCATATTACGCTATTTTCTGATCTGTGTTATAACGTTGTTTTCCTCGTCGAGATCGTACCTGGAGTTGTGTTTTGTTTCGTTCACACATGATTAACACAGAAATCCTGCTTATTTTTCCGAGTTCTTTTCTCAAAAACTCAAAAAATACTCCGTTCCACCTTGTGATATCGCGGTAACACCCGAAATGCTCCACTATGTTTTTAAACTCTACATAACTTCACTAGAATCACTAAGCTCTGGACGTGCCAATCTCAACTGATGTAAATGTCAGTAGTAGTAGTAGTAGTAGTAGTGTAATAGTAGTAGCAGTAGTAATAATACTAGTCTAATAGTAGTAGTATTAGTAGTAGTAGTTTAACAGCAGTGGTAGTAATAGTCTAATAACAGTAGTAGC